CGAATTATTACTAACAATGTTCGATGGAAGTGTGGCCAATGTTCTATCGGAAACAAACTCTACAGCAAGATGTATCATTTGTGGAGCCACCCCCAAAGAAATGAATCAAGAAGCAGTTGTGCAAAAAACGCCAAATATAGATAATTATCGCTTTGGCTTTTTGAATGTTTATTACATATTCCCTATCGCTTACCTTTGAAAATTTGGCAAGTAAGAGGCAACGAAAATAAGGATACCTTTGAGCATACAAAAAAGCGAATCCAGTTGGATTTTAAAACTAAAATGGGGTTAATTGTCGATAAACCGAAGCCGGCAGCCTTATTCTGTAACTTGCAACCGAGAGAATTGCGCAATTATCGCTGTCCAGTCGCTGTCAAACGCGAGTTTTCTATTCAAAAAATGCAAACTTGCAACCGGTTGCTGGTTGCTATGTAGTTGCTGTTCGTAGAGAATAGGCCTGCCGGTTATGGCTCCACAAATGATGGCAACACGGCAAGGACATTTTTTAAACATCCAGAACTAAGTTCATAAACATAAACATTTTTCACTAATTTTAAGAGTACTTTCTTCAGGCTGTAGGATAAAGATACCTAAATTTCAATCTCTTCTTAATGACACTCGAAAACTTTACTTAGATTTGTATGCATGGTACTAAATGCCTAGTACAATCCATAAAACTTTGATTTACGGTTGTGACATCATTAATTTTTTTGAATTACCTGTTGGGCAACTAGCAGAAGATGCCCTTGAAGTAACACACAAAGAATTTAGAAAAACTCGTTTACACCACACCCGCAAAACTTCAAGACTTCAAAGCAATACAGATCTTATTAGAACCCTTTTAATTAATTCTGATCCAAAAATAGCATACTTGAGGAATATTTCTAAAACCACAAAAAATATCGTAAAGTGGGACATGGAAATTCAAGCATATTTATATGACAATGAAAGCCGAGAACAATCACTTTTCGAAAATGACTTGGATGTAAAAATGCTTGAGTGATTTTACTTTTTTTTGTGTATATTATAAGGTGTTTAGTTAATCTTAGAGTAATTTATCTTTATATTTTTATTCTTTATTATGAGTGGTTTATATTATCATTATTATTTTAATTGTTCACTTTTATGGCAATTGGAGATGAGGGTTTTCGCAAAACTCACCCCTTTTTGACTCACTTTATTATTTTTCTTATTATCCTGCTCGTTTCTAATATGGCTGATTTTTGAAATTCTGTTTTTTTTTTATTGACAAGTTATGTTTGGTGATGGTGTGAGTCCTGAGATGGAGGGACGAGCAATCGACACTTTTCCATTTTCCACACTTCTTTTATCATTATTATTGCTGTTCTCATTTTTGTGGTATTCTTTTGTAAACTGAGTGAATTTAAAAAATTTATAGAATTCAGTCTGATAAATTGTTAAAAATTAATTCTTTGAATATTGTAGAATTAAAATAATATATAGGGTGGTCCAAAAAAAACCGGAATTTTGTTTTTGGGCTGTAACTTTTTTATTTGTTGACCAATTTTCTTTTGTTTCGGCTTGTTTGAAAGAGAAATGAACAGGCTAACGAATCAGAGTGAAACTTTTGACATTTGAAAAAAATCCAAAATGGCGGACTCCTCCAAAAATTGCCTAGTTTTGGATAGCGCTGGAACTTTTTTGTGACACCCTGCATAAGTTTTTGCAATAAATTCTTAAAGTTCATCATTTTGCGAACATTTTAAGACCTCGACAGAAAAAATCGGTTGAAAACTAAGTGAAATATTGAATTTTTTGTAATATCGAATTTCAATTTTTTATATTGACAGCAAAATCTAGGATATGCTATTTCAGCTAGAATTTTTTTTTCTACTCGACATATTTTTTTCTATTTCGAGCTTATTGGAAAGATAAATAGATAGGATAAGGATTCGAAATGAAGATTTTGACTGTTGAGAAAACATTAAAAATTTCCCAGTTCCTTTAACAATAGCCAATTTCGAAAAAGTTAACGATAAGTTTTCTAACAATGCGCCTAATATTTTTATTTATAAATTTTAAAAAATAAAGTAAACACGTTTAAGGGGCAAGAGGCGATATGCCCTCTGTGGGCCTCAACAACCCATGCTAAACGTCTGCGCCAAAAATCGATAAAATTGGCAATGTTACGTTGTTCCAGCAGTTCTCCCCAACACTCAATGATTCGGTTGCGCAGCTCTCCTAAATTATAGAACTTAGCCCCATTTCCGTGGACTTTTTCTTCCAAATCTCCTCATAAAAAGTAATCACAGGAATTCAAATCTGGGCTATTAGGCGGCCAGCCAACGGGCTGTATAAAATCCGCAACTTGCTCTCTTAGATAGTTGATAGTAAAGTGGCTATTATGTCACCTGGCTCCATCTTATATACAAACAGTATTTATCACCTTTATCTCATAGAAAGGGAAATACAAAAACGTAGAATTTTATCAAAGTTTTTGTGAGAACCAAAATCTGAACAATAAATATTAACTAGATAAGTTATAAAATTACCTACATAAAAGTGTAGTCTTGTGGTGTGAGCTGTTCAATTTCGGATCAAGGTTCCTAAAGTTAACAGGTTGTCTGGTAATGGGTAACTTGATGACGCATCTAGAGTGCCTTATAGAGATTTGCATTTTGTTCAGGCATACAGATGACGTCATAAAAGTTATCAGGCAACCTACCTCTCTCAAACAGCCTTGATTTCGGATAGCATATGGCGAACACAAGCTGACAATACTTGCGTGAATCCAAACGAACTCCTTGGTCGATAAGTTGTGCTTTGTGGCTCCGAGAAATTGCTGCAGATAGATACCATTAAATAACTGCTGAATTGTTCGCTTCCTTTATCTTCTTTTCGAGCTTAGAGGGAAATTCGTAGTTGGTCGTTTTGCGATTTCTTTACTCCGGTGAACATTTTCCCATCACTGAATAACTTTTTCGGATTTCAGCACGGGCTCTAAATCTAATAAGTAGGACAGTTTAAATGTGTAGTTCCGCTTCACATCGCTTTTAATTATTCTTTACTATGAACTATCTAAGAGAGCAAGTTGCGAATTTTATAGAGCCCGTTGACTGGCCGCTGGCCGCCTTATAGCCCAGATTTGAATCACTGCGATTACTTTTTATAAGGGGACTTGGAAGAAAAAGTCCACGGAAATGGGGCTATGTTCAATTGTTTAGAAGAGCTGCGCAACCGAATCATTGAGTGTTGGGAAGAACTGCTGGAACAACATAACATTGCCGATTCTATCGATTCTTGGCGTAGACGTTTAGCATGGGTTGTTGAGGCCCACGGAGGGCATATCGCTCCTTAAATGTGTTTACTTTATTTTTCAAGATTTATAAATGAAAATATTAGTCATATTGTTAGAAACCTTATCGTTAACTTTTTCAAAATTGGCTATGTTGAAGGAACTCGGACATCCTCATTTTTTTCTCAACCAGTCAAAATCTTCATTTCGAATCCTTACCATATCTATTTATTTTTCGCCCAAGCCTGAAATAGAAAGAATGTGTCGAGTAAAAAAAAATCTACCTGAGATTGCATATCCTAGATTTTGCTGTCAATATGAAAAATTGAAATTCGATATTACAAAAAATTCAATATTTCACTTAGTTTTCATCCGATTTTTTCTGTCGAGGTCTTAAAATGTTCGCAAAATGATGAAATTTAACAATTTATTAAAAAAACTTATACAGGGTGTCACAAAAAAGTTCCAGCGCTATCCAAAACTAGGCAATTTTTGAAGGAGTCCGCCATTTTGGATTTTTTTCAAATGTCAAAAGGTTTACCCTGATTCGTTAGTCAGTTCATTTCTCTTTCAAACAAGCCCAAACAAAAGAAAATTGGTCAACAAATAAAAAAGTTACAGCTCAAAAACAAAATTCCGGTTTTTTTTGGACCACCCTATACATCATGTTTTGCGCATTTTTGCGATTTTTCTTAATTTTCTATTTTTAAAGAAATGCTCTGCTATTTTCAATTTAGGATTTTATACCAAATATGCCAAATATTTATTTTCAAATTCATAATATATGTTTTTAAAGTTTTTAGCACATTTTCAAAAATACGTCAAATGTATTTGGATGGAAATCGGCTGGTAATCTTTCTTTTTGATTGTTACTCGACTTTTTTAATTAATTTGTGAAATAAAAGTCTGGATGTTTTTGGATTCCTTTTTTGTCAAAGGTATCATTTTTTAATTGCAAAAAAAAACAACATGCTCACAAAATCATATGTATCTCTCAAAATCAGAAAATTGGACACAATTGGACCCTGTTTTGTAGAAAGCGACCAACCCACAGTATAACAAAATTTCAACTAATGTTATTTTTCGTTGTGTTTCAACCCATTCTTCATTTTGCATAAAACGACCAACTGATGGAATAGCGTTTTGAAGGTCAAATCTGTGTTAGAAAAATACCTATTTTTGAAAATCACAAATCATTCTTCTGCAGAAACAATCCAAACCACTTGGACCACACATAAAATGCTTTCCAATCTACTGGTGCATTGCAGAATGCATCCAAGCCACATGGTCGGCAGTCGCTATTCGTATATCCTGGGACCAAGTGGGTTGGATGTATCCTGCAAATCTTAGATTCGCAATTAACGAGAAACGATGCAGGTTGGTTGTCGCTTGGATGTTTTCTGCAGAAAAAGAACCTTCCACATAACCTAAAAATTCAGTTGTCTCGCCGGTAAGTCAGTTTTGTTGCTGTTGTGACTTGTGTCTTGGAAGTTGAAAAAGTATGTGGTTGAAGATGAAAAGGAACCGTGGTGCCAACATTTTGGAAATGGTCAGGGATAAAAAGCCACCAGCAGTCAAAATACAATCAGGTAATTTACTGCAATATATCTTTCAATAAAAATGAATCCACTGCTTTTGTCCTAATAATTTCTAATGGCCAGTTAGAAAATGTTGAACTTGAAAAAACAATCTTATTTTGCCAATAATGATCTTTTCAAGAAAATTAGTTTTTTCTATTTAACAGATAAACAAATTCCCAGCTCTGATAACAACATTGCTACAAAAGAAAATGTTGTTGCTGCCTGCAACATAGACCTGGCACCGAACCTGGCCCACGTCTTGGAACGGGATAATGGAGGCACTAGAGTTTCAGTTTTAGAACCAGTGGTACTAACTTTTACCAGCGTGAATGAGGAAGCTAACGTTAATGAAAGTGCGCCTCTAAACAACAACAACCTTCCTAGCCAAGACAACCCAAAACATCAGCTGAAAGAGTCTGTTTCTAGTAAGTGAATTTTAACTTCCATGCAAGTCTTTTGATTATAGTACATTTATAATTTTTTATAGATATATTGATAACCAGTCCTGGTGATATTCCGCTTGCGGAAAAAACATATACACTTTTGGAACCTGTGGAATTAGCATTTACCACCATGAAAAATAACTATGAGGAAGCTAACGTTAATGAAACTGTGCCTCTAAGGCAAGCAGAGTATGACCTCGGAAATAGTCTGATAGTCAGCAACCTTCCTAGCCAAGACAACCGAAAAAATTCACCAACACCCAATACAGAAATCATAGGGAACAGGAATTACTTGGCAAGTAATGAAATAAGGATAAGTTCAGATAATCTGGACGGAATTTGCACTGATAATGCAGAAAGTTTGCAAGTGCAGAGTGAGCTCAATGGAGACAGAACTAGGGACTCTGAACTGGTGGGGGATGAACCTGCATATGATTCAGACGATTCAGTGGCTGATCCCACTTACGAGCCTGTTCCCATTAATGAGCCTGTTCGGCATCATGTAGTTGCTGATTCGCCTAGTGAATCTGAAAATAACTTGCAGGAAGCGAACTCGTATAAAGGAAGACCTAAAAAAGGAAGGAAAAGGAAATTTCCGGAACAGTCCCGAGAGGAAGGGAAAAAGAGAAGAAATAGTAACTTGTCTCATTTTGACTACAAAGGGCGTGAAAAAGCATCAAGAAGATTTATAGATTTTGATTGCCAATGTAAGCTAAAGTGTAGAGAGTCTGTTTCTATTGAAGAACGAATGCAGGAATTTGAAAAATTTTGGGCCTTACAGTCGTATAACTGTCAAACTAATTACATAGCAGCAGCGGTTAGCCAAGTCCCTAAAAAGAGAAACTACGGGAGAAATACCGAGAGACGAAACTTCTCCAGATGTTACAAAATAAATGATAAAGTTGTGTGTAGAGAATTATTCATTAAAACATTAGGCATTTCTCCTTGCCGGGTTAACACGGCTCTCAAGAAATTCCATGGTGCCGCGCCATTAACAGACCAACGAGGCGTTAATCAAGGCGGAAAAAATAAAATCCCTGAGCATAAGGTGGATGAGATTATAAGTCAGATTGATAAAATCCCTAAATATATTTCGCACTATTCACGAAAAAAAACTGATGCAAAATTTCTGCCCCCAGATGTAACAGTCACTAAAATGTACGAAATGTATACCAGAGAGTGTCAACAACCTGTGAGTATTACAAAATACAAGCAAATTTTTTATTCAAAGTTTAACTTGCGAACCAAAGAACTTAAAAAAGATACATGCAATAAATGCGACAGTCTCAAAATGAAAATCGAGAATGAGAAAAATGATGAAAAGAAACGAGAATTGACTGAACAACATAAACAACACCTTGACGAAGCTGAAAATGCCCAAGCCTTGAGAAGAGAAGATTTTAGAACAGCTAAAGAGATGGATGACTATGAGTGTCTTACTTTTGACATGGAAAAAACTTTGCCACTCCCACGAATCCCAACTAACATTGTATTCTACAAAAGACAACTTTGGATATACAATACGGGTGTACACAGTGGAAAGGATGATCGTGGTTACTGCTACGTTTGGGCTGAAGGTGACGCTGGAAGAGGGGCCCAGGAAGTAGGATCGTGCTTGATAAAACACGTTCAAAACAATTTAAAACCCGAAGTTGAACATTTAATTTTGTGGAGTGATTCTTGCGGAGGTCAAAATCGTAATATTAAACTGACCTTAATATTAAAATATATTTTGCATTCATCACAGCATCTTGAAGACATCACTTTGAAATTTTTATGCTCAGGTCACAGCTTCTTGCCAAACGACTCGGATTTCGGTGACATCGAATCAGCTTTGAAGCACCAACAACAGTTGTATCTACCTGCAGATTATATAAACGTAATGAAACTCTGTAGAAAGAAAAACCCACTTATAGTCACTGAGATGTCTTCGAAAGACTTTTTAGGTGTAACTAAGGTGGAAAAGAATATAACGAATAGAAAAATTTCAGTTGATGGTGAGAAAATTAACTGGCTGAATATAAGATCTATAAAAATAGAAAAAAATAAACCTTTTTCTTTATATATCCAACAAAACACTTTTGATGGTCCCTTCGAAGAGGTCAATATACAGAAATTGAGAAGAGGACGGCAACCTGAGAATCAAGGCGATCTATTTCTAGATTTGGACCTCTTGTGGCCTCAAGGAAAAGCTATAGCTGAGCCAAAACTTGCCAATTTGCGAAAGGAAATGCCAATATTGAAGAGGACATTGATGGCTTCAACACCGAAAATCTTGACTTTGCCATTGAAGAGAACTAAGTTTTTATAACTACTAATATTATAAATTTATTAGCACTACAATAATATACTTGTTTTGTCTGTCTTTCTTTTTTTGATATACCTACTTCTAAATAGATTGAGAAAACTTAATTTTCTGTTTTGTAGAAAGCATCCAAACCTCAAAAAATCAAACTACTTTGGAAAAAAAAAAAAAAAACGGAAAAGTTTGTAAATTTGAATCACTTTAAAAAAAAAAACTAGTGCCCGGATGTAGCGTATTATCGATATCTCAACTAAAACAATCGATTCATTATAAAAATATAATTTCTAATTTTATGGAAAACACACTCGGTGAGGGTTGGATGTTTTTTACATAACTGGGTCCAATTGACAGACGACATAGGCGTCAAAAAAAAATAAGGGTTGTGGAAACAAAATAACCAATTGTACTAAATAGGAAGTAATTGTACACAAAAATAAATAATTGTACTCAGGTTCACAAATTGTACATACTCCCACCTTTGAAGAATATCTTCAAAAAAAAATAAAAAAATAAATAAATAAATAAATAAATAAATAAACATAAAAAGCATCATGTAGTAGATATTCGAATGGTGAGAAGAGCTAAGTGTTCAAACCATTTTTCGAAAAGAACATTATTATTGAATAATGATAAAAGCATATCATACCTATTGAACTATTGAAATTTGTACACTTCAACCGACAGTAACTGTGCTGTATGGAAACTGATCAAGAATATGCAAACTAACCCGTCTTTGTACTGCGTGCTAGTCCCCGTTAACTTACCTGATCAGGAATTACAAAATAATGCAAAACAACCCAAATTAACCCATTCTTGAAATGCATGCTAGTATCCTTGAACATTTTTATTTTATCTAGCTCGCCGCGCTTGTTTATCGTTGTTAATCAGTACACTCTATCCAGTTTTAGATAGGTAACAAAAAATCAAATTAATTAATTAATAATTACTCATTTGCGGTAATATTTTGCACCCACATGGAACAATATTTCAGGATCAAACTTAAGATTTTATGAAAAAGAAGCATGACATTTTTGTAAAGGATCTTTACATCTCTGACCTTTACTAAACAAGTACTTATAATAGGCAATTATTTAAAATCAGGTACAAAAAAATCAAACTGATAATTTGCAATTTTAATCAGGTATTCACAAACTTACCACTAATAACCCGGTTTTTGCAATTTTATTTAGAACAAAGTAAACTAAAATTAGCTCAAAAATATTCCAAATAGACTCAAAATACACAAAAAAACATCACCCAATGCTATCCCACAGCTACCATATTGAATTTCATTGATGAAAACGTCAGCCGCAACGAGAAATAGTACAAACTTAAAAGGCCTATATTTTTGGAAAAAGTGCATTATCCGCAATTTTTATTTAAGAAATCGTTAAATACTTTCCTTCTAAAACGAATTATGTGTCTATCAAGCCTCAATGAGTGTGGCACTAAAGTGATATGGCACCGATAAATCTTTTAAGGCAAGCTAAAAATGCTTCACTTGTCAAATTACTAACAATTTCCATATGTACAGCCTTTGTACAAAAACAGACAAATACAGCTAAATAACATTCAATTAGTTTAGCACCTCTTCCTGGTTTATTAAAAATGAAAAAAGGACCTGCATAGTCAATCCCAGTGGTTTGGAATGGAAAACTAGTTGTAATACGTGTATCTGGTAAGCCTCCCATTGGATATAGTGCAGGTTTAGGGTTAAATTTAAAACAAGGTATACAAGCCTTTACAGTTTCCTTTGCCAAATTGCGACCACCAATAGGCCAATAAAATTGTCTAATAGATGCAAGTAGTAATTGCGGACCAGGATGGAGCAAATATTTATGTTTATGTTCGAAAATTAACTTAGTAAGTGGATGAACAGAATTAAGCAAAATAGGATGTTTGAAGTTATAAGGTAAATATGTATTTTTTAAGCGTCCACCTACACGTAAAATTCCATCTTTATCAAGAAATGGGGATAAGGAGGAAAGTCTGTGGTTTTGGCCTAAAGTATTATTCTTGGCTAATGCCTTCAATTCCATACTGAAAGATTCTGACTGGGCTAATTTCACTAAAATTATGTTAACATTATCCAGCTCTTCAATTTTCAAGCAACCTGTTTTCAAAGCATTGTTTTTCTTGTTTTTTATATTGTTAAAAAATCTTATCACATGGCTATGACTCGTTTAAGTTTAGTTATCAGAAAATCGGGTAAAAATACTATCTAAGCTTGTGGTCGTTAGGATTGTTGTTTTCCTTTTAATTTCTGGCAGCTCATCCCTAGCTAGGTATATTAAAATTCACAACAGGCCACTCAGAATTAGGGCACATTAAAAAATCTGGACCTGTCCACCAAATCTTTGAGTTCACCAATTTGTCTGGGCTTAGCCCTCTAGAAGCCAAGTTTGCTGGGTTGTGTTTAGTATTTACATATTGCCACCTACTGACATCAATGAGTTCAAATATATGAAATTAATTAAGAACAATTAAATATGTTCTTGTGACATTTCAAATGTTACAAGCTTGGATCTGTTCTAATCCAACAGAGTGCAACTTGGGAGTCTGACCACATAAATATAGAAATATTATTAGAAAGAGAAATTGCATTTTTGACTACATTGATTAGTTGTGCACCAAGCAAACATGCACATAATTCCAATTTAGGAATCGTTATTTCCTTCAATGGAGAAACTTTACTTTTTGCACAAAGAAGGTGACTTTCAAATTGATCATTATTGTTTTTGCTCCGTAAATAGACTGAAGCAGGGATGGTATTTCTTGGAATATTAAAACTGGCAATACTTGAAAGGCTATTTTGAAATTGTAAAAATGATTTTTCTAGTTCACATGGTATGCAATCATCCCAAGCAATTTTTAGAGACCACAAACGTTGAATAATGATTTTAGAAATGATTATGATTGGACTCAAAAGCCCTATGGGATCATATATTTGTGCTATCATAGACAATATGGATCTTTTTGTAATTGAGGTATTGTCAACAGATTTTTTTTTAATATTATATTTTAAAAAATCAGGACTAGGAAGCCATTGAATACCTAAAGTTTTACAAGTTTCATTCTTATCAAAATCTAAAATAAAATTTGAAATAGCTGTTTGACTAAAATCGGATATTACAGCAGGATTATTAGAAATCCATTTTCTTAAAATGAAATGAGCTGATTTGCAAATAGAAAATATTTGTTGACATTTAACTTTTAATTCTGATAAATTGTTTGACCCTGTCAATAGGTCATCAACGTAAAAGTCATTCAAAATAGTATGGCTTGCTTCTGGAAATTGATCCATATTCTCAATAGCTAATTTTTTCTAACATTTGATAGCTAAATATGGAGCTGAACTTGTACCATATGAAACTGTATTTAATTGATAGACTGCAAATTCATCTGAGGACTGTTGTCGCCATAATATCTGTTGAAGAGATCTATGATCTTCATGCATAAGAATGCATCGATACATTTTGGAAATGTCAGCCGAAACAACATACGTATAAGTTCTGAAACGCAACAGAATATCTAGTATGTCATTTTGAACCTTTGGACCTATGTATTGAATGTCATTAAGGGACCATCCTGTAGATGTTTTGCAGCTAGCATCGAAGACAGTTCTCAATCTTGTAGTGAGGCTATCATTTTTAATAACCCCATGGTGAGGTAAAAAATAGGAAAATTCACTGACAGCCTTGTCCGACAACTTGGACATATGCCCTAATGACTCATTCGTGAATAAAATTGAAATAAAGATTTTTAAATTCCCCCAAATTTTCAAACCTTCTTTCTAAAGCTAAAAATCGTCTTGTGGCTATTTCCCTAGACCTACCTAGCAGACTTGGGCTAAACTTTAGTGGAAACTTGACTACAAATTGACCTTGATTATTTCTACAGGTATCTTTTTCAAATTGAATTTCACACTCAACATTATCCTTAGACATTGGTTTATCAACCTTAACCTCTTCGAGCTCCCAAAACTTTTTTAATTGTTCATCTTCTTGAATGAAAATTTTGGAAAAATTGCAGACTGAACTGTTATTGAACTCGAAAGGATAACTTTCTGTAACAACATAACCAAAAATAGTATTTTGTAAAGTGGGTAAATTGTCTCCCAACTTTATACTTCCTGCTCGTAGCACCAATCAATAAATCGACCTGTCTTGACTTAAAAAACTCTGGATCAGCTAATAGACCCTGAGATAGGGCCTGTTTAGTGGAGTCATTTTTTTTTGTCTGGCATTTTGAGGGATGAATGTGGCTGGTTAGCTGATGAGAATATAGGTGGTTTTAATGCCTGCCACCTGTTCGAAATGTCCACAGAATGTTGCGCCGGAAAACTCGACTTCGAACTGAGATTACCGTTTGGCGATTTTTCAGCGATATTTTCACAACAAAACCTTCCATTCTCTCGATTACCAGACAAAAACTAAACACGGAAGGTTCTTTTCTTTTCTCTTGGAAGTTGACACTCATCCCCACTTTTTCAGCTATTGAAAAGCATCTGGTATTTTTTATGGGTGAAATATTTATCAATGTCAATCTTTTATTTAGAAGCCAAAAAATTTGAGATCATTAAATCCTCATGTAAATCAATTTTTTTCTTCTGCAAATTTTCGAACGGGAGGCCGGCAATAAAATCACCCATATTCTCATCAGCTTAGTAGCCAGATTCATCCCTCAAAATGCCAGACAAAAAAAATGACTCCACTAAACAGCCCCTATCTCACAGTCTATAATGGAACAATGGGAATTGACAATTTATTAGCATCCAAATTGAATAATGGAATATTAGTTGTGATGATTGGAGCTACAAAACATGTAATTGATTGTTGATAATCGGAATAATTAGAAAGAATGGTTAAATTGCATTTTTCTTTGAGCTGAGAAATAGCTTGAGTGATTCCAATAATGGATAAATTGGTTGGAATACATGGAAGGTTTAGTCTTTTAACTAATTTTTCTGAGATTAAATTGGATTGTGCACCGCAATCGAGCAATGC